GAAGCTTTGATTCTGATTCAGTGATTTCAGCTGCTTTTCTTACTGCTTTGAGTAAACTCTCTGAGAGGTTCTGCATATCTTTCAGTTCAGGTAGCAGAGAAGAGTGTTGTTTGTATCAGCTAGAGAAGATATTCATTTCAGTGATTTCTCATTAATTGTATAATGTCTATCATTATATCACTGTGTTATTATATCAGTATATCATTCTATCACTATATCATTATATGATTTCTGTTATCATTGTATAACTCTGATAATGGTCACTTCTCTCTTTTATCTCTTTGAGTGAAGAGCAGTCTTCTTTGAATCTGATTCACTGCTTTCATCTCTTTTCTCACATCTCATCTGTTCACATACATGGCATTCGCCTGGGCATGAAGTTTTCCCTTAACAAGCAAAGCAGCAGTATCAATCAGATGCTCTTTCACTCACTGCTCTTTATACACTATCTTTTGAGACATTCTAGAACTACACTGACATGATAACTATGAATTGCTTTATAGACAGAATTATCACACTCTGAAGAAGCCTGTACTTCTCATTGGTTTTTAGACATGCTATCAGATGTGATTCAAAGGTTGCTTAAGTCAGCATATGATTACAGGTGTACACCGGCTTCTTATATATTGTAATATCATATGCTAATTTAATTAGCGGCTGCTATGGCCCCTTTACACTTGTACGCGTACGCTAGTAGTTCGGAAGCGGCCGCGGTATTATCCGACGGTCGTACGTTCTTCCGAACCACATCTTTATAAACATCATCATTCAGATCTTGTTTCAGAGCTCTGTTTTCACAGACTCTAATTCATATCATAATTTCATGAAGTGCTGTGAGTAGTCTTCATCAGATTTCTCATCTCTTTTTCTAATATTAGTGATCACAGCTCAGGTGTTCTCTGTTCAGCTCACAGAGTCTCTCAACTTGTTCTCTAGATAGATCTTAAGAACAGATTATCAGAATCTCTTATAATCATTCTCTAGATAATTCAGTCAGTTCTTGACTTCAGTGTAATAGAGGCCTGTCATTACATAGATAATAGCTTCTTCATCTTTCATATTATACAGCTGAACTTGTAAGTCAATTTCAAATACAAACTCACAAAAGCTTTTATAGATTGTGATTCAATAGATAATCTTAAGTGATTACAGCTTAAGAAAGTTTCTTTTCAGTTCATAAGTATCTCTGAAGATTATGTCTAGAGACTCAGTTTGAGAATGTTTGCAGACAGTAAGCATTTCTTGTAGAAAAATAGCTTGATTCTGTGAAAGATACTCAAGAATATTCTTTACTGAGATTAATTTATTTATGAGTTTGAAGAGTTTCTCTGTCTGAGATGCAGAGAATAATGTCTCATGAGTGATTGATAAGTTCTCTGAGACTTCTTTTACAGAGATTATTCATGATTCAGATGACTACTTCTGAATGCCTGCAGTAGAGTTTACAGAGATTGAAGCATATGAGTTTCTAGTTCTTTCAGTCATAACAGGCAGTTGCTGACTGACTGAGCTTGAAATGTAAGAATAAGTGCTCACAGATGATTATTCAGGTGTTTACAGCTTAGCATGATATGTACTGTTAACTACTAGAAGTATTCACAGTAGAAAGATAAAATGTAGAAGTCAAATATATAATAGCATTCAAGCTGAGTTATGAATAGTATTCATGAACTCCAGTCTATATAGTTATGTGTAGCCAAGGGCCGCTAGCCCTATTGATTACGCGAGAGATAGGAATAGAGGTAAAGAATCCGTGAGAAGCGGGATTTCTTACAATTGCAGTTTCACATAACTCATTGCTTTCATGCAGATGATTTCATCTCATTTAAACTGATTTTCAATCACTCTATGATATCATGCAGATGTATTATAGAAAGATCTGATTGATGAATATGAGAACTCTGCTTCTATATAAGATCAGCAGATTACTCTTTCTTAGCAATGAGATGCTGCTGAGGTATCACTTCAGCTATTCTCACTTATGAAATGAGAGAAGAGTATCTGCTCATTGTCTATATAGAATAGCTAAATACTGACTCCTTATCAAAGAAGTCAGTAATTTGTCTTTTTCTTCTACTGAAATATATATAAGAGTTACTATGTGTCTTATACAATCTTCTTAGTATACTAAGTATCATATCTGTGATATTCTCACAATAATCTTGTAGCCTATGAGCTCACTATTTAAGCAAGATAGTCAAGCTCACTTATACAGCTTTTCAAACAACTACTTCTACATAATGCTGTTAACTAGTCATCACTTCGGTTCCGCCATATTACAATATCAGATCAAAGAGATTATGAACTTAGAGAAGTAAGATTATAAGCTCTGATTCAAGATTCAGTGATAAGAATATTCTGATAGAATAAATAAGTTTACTTAAAAATTATTCAGATAGATAAGATATCTACAGAAGCTGAGATATGATTTTTATACTATAAATTCTGATAAGTCAGAATAATACAGTCTTTACTAAGAATCTGATTATAATAAAGATATTAACACTGTTATTTATAAACTCTAGTCTATAAGATGATAAGTTTCTACTGAAATGAACAGTCTGCAGTGTACATAAGAAAAGAAGAAATTATATTCTCATTAAAGCTAAAAAATAAGAAAATAAACAGAACTGTGAACACAATTTAGAGATTAATAAAGAAAAAATAAAGAAAACTTATACTCATATTCTTAATATTCATGATACTTAACTCTCTCACAACTATCAATTTTTCTCTTTAAAGAAGCAGAGAGTATTATGTCTATGATACAGATAATTATTGTATTTAATATAAAGATTATCAGAAATGCACAGACTTCAGAAGAGTCAGATATCAGAGTGCATGTAGTTACAGCAGAGTCTTAAGAGCTGGCTATCTGTATATATGATCAGATATTTCTTATAAAGCTATATCTGCTCTCTCAGTTGTACTTAGACTGACCGTGTGACCGTGTCTGAGACCAGGACCAAACTTTACAGTTATCATGTTGCCTAAAAGCATTACTTCTGGTCATGGTTTGTGTTCATCACATTAATTCCAAATCACGTTATTTCAAATATTAAAGGTTTCAGATTCACTTTTCAAATAAAAATCTAGTTCTGAATAAAGAAGATGTTTGAATTCTTAGTCACATTTTCATTCTGATTCTATTATTGAGAATGGCATTAAATGAAATCATGAAATCACTTCTCACTTACATAATATCATAACATAGTGCTCATTTGTTGAAAATTCAACAGAGAGTGTTACTAAATATCATTACTTTTCTGAACACAGATCATAATTCATATAATTTTAATTATGAAAAAAACATAAAATATAAAAAAAAACAAAAAACAAAAAACAAAACAAACATAAGAAAAAATCACATTAAAAAAAAAAAAAAAAGAAAAGAAAAAGAAAAAAACAAAAAATAAAAACAAAAAAAATCAAGATCACAGAGCTGCAGCACTCTCAAAATACTCACTTCTCAGAGTCTTCACAATGTTCATTATCAACTGTGTATCTCTCATAGTAAGAATAACACAGCTGCAATGAGTCATTGCCTTAACATTATCTAACAAATAATCAGTATATATCTGTATAAATGTGAATAATTAGAAAATATACACTTAAAAAGTGTGACCAGGGTGGACTCTGCTGTCACTTAAATGACATCAAGAGCAGAATGCTGAAATTGATGATTTCTCTCATCAATTTCACAGACAAGATGTGTGAAGATGATCTTGAGAAATATAAGATTCTCTGACTTCTGATAAAAATGAATCTCACAGAGAGACTCTATTTTCATGATATCAGAGACTGAGTGTTATCAAAAAGCATTACTTTCATGCAATGCACATGCACTTACTGCAGTGATTCACTCTCTGTGCATGTGACTGAGAGTTGCAGCTTTCTCACATCACACAGCTCTCTCTGAGATGCTACTGTCAGTTTGCAACTCACACAGTCTCTCAGTTCAGCATGTGCTGTGTGTATACAGCTCTGCATGCTGAGGCTGTGTTGGTCATTATGGCCTGGTATGATACTCACTTTTCACAAGCCATGTTTCATTTGAGAGGGGGGGGGAAGACATGACTGTTGTTTTATTGAGAAGGAGATGAATAATTAGTATTATTAAATTATTTTGATTCATCTGCATTTAAAATTTGATTAGTTTATACTCTTCAATTTGAGGGTTTCTATGAGTGTTTTAATAGTTTTCATACCAGCTTGAACTTAGTGATGAGTTGAAGAAGAAGAGAAAAGAGAGAAGAAAGAAATGAGAATAACTTATCTTTATAATATGAAAACAGAGAATCACTGCAATCATTCTTTCTAGCAACAAAGATCTGTTTTCTGCATGTATCTCTGATATAGATTATATGATAAATGCATACAAAGAATATCAATAGTGCATGCATTGAATGAAGATAATGTTGCTATGCAATACTGTAGCCGTTTCTGTACATCTCTGAAAGCTGTTAATAGTTTCTTTGTCTCTTTATATTTGATAAGTCAATAATATATTCTGATGCACTTCTTCTTTCATCATCATTATCATCATTATCATCATTATCATCATCATCATCATTATCATCATTATTATCATTATCATCATTATCATCATTATCATCATCATCATCATCATTATATCATTGCCTGTCTTCACTCTCTCTCAACACTTATTAAAATCAATCATGTCATCCCTCTTCAAATATTCTGTGGTTCTGCGGACCATCAAGGCGCGTGAGCGCTGTCACAGATTGAAGAGAGAGAAGAAGAAGATGTTCAAGTGTGAGAAGACAGATCATAAGACATATTATGATGCCTTGAAGAGGCTCTGCAAGAAAGCAGAATAATAACAATTTTAAGTAATACTTCTGATAGATTTAGACTGAACTAAGTATAGAAATAATGCAGATAATACCGCCTGTGAGAGATTGAAAAAGAAGACAGTAAAGAGTCTCATACAGCAGTGATGAGATCAGGAGAAGTTCTGAGAATGATTTAAGATCAAGATGAAGAGAGAGAGAAAGAAGAAGAGTGTTGCTGTAAATAAGCAGTAGCAGAAGAAGATTGAGAAGATATTGAAGTGAGAGACAAAGAAGTCAAAACTGGTAAGTTTTTATTGAGAGATAATAATTTTTGATAATACTTCTGTTCTCTAATTGATTAGCAGAAGCTGACAGAGAAGAAGAGGATTGAGGCCTTGTTCAGATCTCAAATGTGCTTCATGATTCAGGATATTAAGGAGGCAGCCCTGCTCTCTGAGCATGTCAATCTGCTTGCTGCTGAGGTGAAACCTGAGACAGCAGACCAGAAAATGCGGGATTTTGAGATGCAGATTGACCTGACTGAGAAGAAGCAGTGAGAACCCTTCTCTGAGAAGGCAGTGAAGAGAGATTTTGAGATGATTATCATCTCAGATGAGAAGAAGAAGAAGAAGAAGAAGAAGAAGAAGAAGAAGAATGAGAAGTGAATTGTAAAGAATGATAAGAAGAATGAGAAAGAGAAGAAGTAGATTTTTTTCTTTTTATATTAGTTAGTTATAAGTTTAAGTTTTTAATTATTAATAATTAAAATTGATTTTGAGTTTTCAAAAATTATTGTACAAGTTGTAATCAAGTCAGGAATGATATATATATATATATATATTTAACTATCATGATTCACAAATCACTATAATGTATAAGTATCAACATTTTTTCAACATTAATATTCACAATATTAATATATTTTTAATGATATCATCTGATAATGCAATTTGATAACACTCTCTTTCATAATATTAATATATTTCAAGAAATATGACAGAGATTAATCAAGATTATTTGTTTACTTTTATACATCAATGATATTCAATCTGAGTTAGTACTAAAATTATAACTAAGCTAAGAAATAAGATTATTTTCTCTTATATTAATTCTTCTTACACACATCAGTGATCAGTTATTGAAAATAAATTATTATCTTTCTTAAATTATTATCATGTCTTCTGAATTCACTTCTTTCACTTCTTTTACTTCTATTGAAGATTTACAAACTCTTTAAGAAATTACTGTGAATTATAAAGTCTATGTTATTTACAATTCAACACAGAATGCTCTCTTTCAATTATGATGAATAATCACTTCATTCTTCATATCTGATTTCAGGTCATGAAATTTATGAAAAACTCAACACAAATATTGAGATGAACTATGAAATAATTATCAACAGATTGTATTGTAGATTACTGAAGAGTCATCTCTTTGCTACAATCACTGCAACTTTATTCAGAAACATTCATCATAAACTGATCATGACTCTGAAGGAATTTTCTGATATCTGAAGTTATCAGAATGCAGACAATAAAAGAAAAATAATCAGAAAATTACTACTGAGCTGGTAAGTTACTCTATCAGATAATGATTTTTGATAATGCTAACTTTTTAATTTGAAGAAAATCATGTGAAAATGACTCTGTATCAGTACTCTGATTTCACAACTCTCATCTGATAACTTCTGTGAATAATTACTTTGCATGTATATATCTCTGAATCTTTCTCTTTGATCAATTGAAAACTCTGAATTCTGAACACTTCTTCAAATGCTTAATTTAAATCTTCATATTTCACATCAATTCTGTCTTCAGTTTAATCTTGAGACACACTACAAAGTTAATATACAATATCTAGAATCAGAGTTGAAGAATTATTGAAGAGTGTCTCTCACAGTGAATGCATGAACTAGTACAAACAATCTTGCATTTATAAGAGTTATATATTATTACATTGATGAGAACTGAACTTATTAAGAGACATTAATTGAATTTGAATCATTGATCAGTAGTCATACTGAGGATTATATAACAGAGATATTAATAACTGTGATTAAAAATGACTATTAAGATATTAGTCTCAGTCTTCTTACAATTACAACTGACAATGCTGTGAATAACTACACTATGATGAAGAGCTTGAAGCAAAAATTGACTTTGCATTTCTAGAATGATAAACAAGATCATATTCTCTGTATTACTCATGTGATTCAACTTGTAATACAAACACTGATAAAGAATCTTAACATTGAGATGAAGAATAATGAGATGACTGATTCTTGAGATGAGAATGAGATGAAAGTGATTACTCAAGTAACTTTTACATCTACTTTATAA